GTCAGGGTGCGCGCCTGGGTGCTTCAAGCACCAGCGCACCCCCCTCACTGAGACACCCTAAAAACCTAAACCCTAAACCCTAAAACCCTAACCCTAAGACCCTGAAGCCCTAAAGCCTAAACCCTTCAAATTACCGGCCCATGGCTTGCAACACGAGAACATATGGGGGTTCCCCAAAATTTGGGGTACCATTTTGGGGATCCCCATAATAAGGACTATAGTATTTTGGGGTCTATACTGGGGTTCCCTTATTTTGGGAAACTACTATATCAGGATTTCAGGAGGAAGCATCAAAGAGCTTTAATGCTGCAATCGCAAAAAATCCTCACAAATGCTGGCATTTCTGAGTTTCACGTGGCTGTAACTTTGCCTCGTCCCAAAGGTCATCTCTGTAAGAAGACCCAAAGGGTCCATGTAGGTATATGGTATATACTTAGGGCCCAAAGGGGTTCCCATATACCTACTTTAAGGCCCAAGTATATACCATATAGCTACATGGACCCTTTGGGAAAGACATTATCAAAAAGTGGCGCGCTGAACTCTTCCATTTATTGAGCTGTCTTGGCTGTAGGAAGTTAGCACGACAGGTTTGATTGTAGAAAGTTGGCGCGACGGGTTCTAATGTCAGTTCGCATTGGAAAGTGTGTTCAGGAATGGAATACGTAATGACTGTTGACGTACAATGTTGAATCACAAGAGTATTTGACGCCTCTTCTTTGTGCCCAAAAATTTTAGCACAAAATGACACGTGGAATGGAAGAGGTCCTCCCTAGAACCACGGGCTCCGGCTCCAGCTTGGGGGGCCCAGGATGCTGGTACCCCAAAGTGGCGGATTGCCCGCAAACCATTGTACTTACCCTAAACCCTAAACCCTAAAGCTTACTGTAAATGACGATATAGGCGCTGTTATGGGGATCCATTCCTTCACCGACAACCATAAAGTAAACAGCCCGTCCCACAATGGTTTCAAAAATGGCTCAAGCAGCTTCACATCATTCACGAAAAAAACATAACAAAGTTATGATTTGAACGCCCATTACAAGCTCCAAGGAAAATCCTGGGTTCCCTACTACTCCGGCTAATTAAAGGCTCCTATGAACAGGCGCAAACCTCAATGATCAATTGACTGGCCTCTGGTTAGCTAGGAAATCCTTATAGCACTCCCCATATAACCCCTTATAGTAGTCTCCATGTTCCCATTCCTTCATTCCTAACCCTAAACCCTAAACCCTAAACCCTAAACCCTAACCAAAGGCCAGCTGAGGGAATGGCACAGGCATCCAGGTAGTTCGCTTCAGGGGCCTTCGTATAATGGATGCTGACCTGGGCGCTTTGGGGGTTTAGGGTTTAGGGTTGCTGTTAGGGAACTTAAGTTAAGCTAATTACCACAACGGGGATCTATAGTAATGAGTATGGTTCCCCCATTATAGTATCTCAAATTAAGTTCCTAAACAGCAGCCCGGTGGGTCGGAGCTTCAAAGCTGCAAGCTTCAACATTTCTTGGATTCCGCTGTTTCTCAAAATGTCCCTCATAGTAAGTAGAGACCTCCCAGAACCCACTTGTAATCCACCTGTATCTTCAGGGTCCCTAGGGCACCCTAGCTTGATAGAGTTTTTTGAGGGGAGTTCGGGCTTAGCAGGACTTAGCCTCGAAATCTGCAGTTACAGCTAGGCATCAGAAACGACTTGGACTTCAACCTTGGGAGCCTAACCCCCAAGCCTGAACCCTAAACTCCAAGAATCAGCGGTGGGGCCCGGACGTGCTGTAGACGGCTTAGAAGTTCGTAGGAAAAACAAACTAGAAGTATAGGTAGGATAACTACAGTAACAGTTGCGGCTTCCAACATTTTGTAGGGAACTTGCAACCATACATAACTAGGATGAACCGCCAAGTTTGATGTATCAGCTTGGAGGAGTCTTGCGATTTTGGCCTGTGGAAGCGGACGAACTCCGGATACTACTAGTACCATTGGTGACCCTATATTCCCTCTTAAGTATATAGAATATGGCTTTGGGTATATTATGAATAAGATCCCCATAGACCCTATATTCTATCTACTGAAGGGGGACTATAGCAAATTTAGGGCCTCAAAGGAGGGGCTGAAGATCAGGATCAAACCTTAGCCCTGAACCCTAAACCCTGAACCCCCACACCCCAAACCCTTTAGTGGTGCTCAGCTGCTTGAACGCTTCAGCTGAGGAGTTGGCTTTCTGCTTTTAGGCAGATTAGGGTTCAGGGTTCAGTGCACATTTAGAGGGGAGTTACAGGAACTCAAGTGGGGAAATGTATTGAAGGGGTTTAGGGTTTGGGGGTGTGGGGCTCTACTAAACATCAATAAGATAAGCCTCTCAAAGTTGAACGCCCTCAACCACATATAACCCTATATAACAGTAATCTCAATTTTCTTTTCCAGTATACTTAGCCCTTCTCTGGGGCCCCTGGCTGGATAACGACGTCCAGGTACATTGAAGATCGGCGCCTAGGCTTGCCGCAGGAAGTTTAGTATATTGTGGTATATTATGTATCTTAGGGAATATTGACAGTATATCTATGGTATGTTACAGTATATTATGGTATATTGTAATATGTTATATGGCAGAAGGTTTCAGATGCCACTGCTTTGACACTCTCTCAATAAAGCAAACAGTGATGAGTAGAGTTGGTGATGTTGCCAAGCGAGGGGTTCTACCATAAAGCAGTTGTTGAGGAGTGTCGAATTTCTGCGTCCTTGCTAGCATGATCCACACAAGCTGAGCGGCCTGCTTCTGAGAAAGCTGCATTGTGCATGGGTTTCGTTGTTATGCTTGTATGCTGAACTCGGACTTCTATAAGGCTCCGGCGATCAAGGTTAGTAGATTTGTGATTTCCATACGTTGGCAGTGAGGACGGGGCCTCTCCCATGGAGCCCTCAAAGGCATTGTTTCAAACCATGTCTTGCATGAGCTCATGCCACAATTCGCGGTCAAACATTGCAAGAAAAGAGCCCTAAACCCCCCTGCCACCTCTAAACACTAAACCCTAAACTTCCAACGCATGATCTGCGGCTAGGCTTTCTGCCGTGGTGCACTGACTACCCAAACCCCCTAAAAGATAGATCCTTTAGGAGGTCTAGGTACTTGGATGGTCAGGAGGATGTAGGGAGTAGGGAGGCCACGTGCCAAATCCCTATGACCCTCGACGAGGGCTCTCCTTCATAAAAGTAGCAGCCTTGACTTGACAAAGGCGGCCTACTTGCTAGTCTGAAGCGGTCAAGGGTTTGGGGTGAAGAGTTTAGTGTTTGGGGGTGGAGCTCACTTCTGCACCCGCCATATAGTCGTGATGTACCCTTTGAGGCAGGTCTCTGTACTTTGGTCTGCACCATTCGACTCCCTCTGGTAGCTTTACAAATGAACCTCTACAAATGAACCTCCCTGCACCTAAGCTTTCTTTCCTTGTCCGGTCAGAGAGATTCCAATACAACTGCGCAAGCACATGCCACAAGTAACAATCACAAAAAAGTTGTTGGGTGTAAGGTGTTGTTTAGGGGCCACCTTCTTGCTAGGCTCCGTGCATTGTCGAAGTACTCGGAGAACTTCTCGGCATCCAGCGTGGCCTGCGCATTCACTTCGTTGCCCAACACTTGAATCCGATAAGCATGAGCTAGTTCCTAAACGACGCGCAGTGATACGGACTTCTTTGCAAAGCATCGAATATAGCCAGAATCAAAGTTCTTGCAATAATTGTAAACTTGCTTAGGACGCGTTCTTTCAAGCTTGAGTTCCCACTAAACAGAAATGAGCCTGTACACGCCTAACAGCAAGACGCGTCTGCCACCAGAAAAATGACGCAGGTTCGTCAACGTTGGCATGGAAATGTCTGAATGTCCGAAGTAGATAGACAAGGTTCCAATTCTAGGCAAAAACCCTTGCAAGGACTATGGACGTGAAGCTCCATGCGCGCACCTGCGTGCGCCAGGCCTTTTAGCGTTTTCGCTGAGCCAACTCTTTCTGGAGTTGTCTTTCTAAGTCATCCATGCCGAGCTCTGAAGCTGCCCAAGCAGACATTTGCAACTCTGGCAGGTTCAAAATCTTGATTTTCAAATTGAGTTGCTCAGCCAGGACGTGAATTGCAACTAGAACCCCGGGCGCTGCATCTTGCAACTTCGCAGCCGCCCACAGACAATTAGACAGCGCTTGGGGATTCATATCCTTCACCGTGTCAAGGATTCTTGATGCAATTGCAGGAACTGCCATACGCACCTCCGGCACTTCATCTTGCAACCTCGCAGCCGCCCACAGGCTGTTTGACAGCTCTTGTTGAGCCATGTCCTTTGCCTTGTCAGGGATACTGGACGCAATGGCAGGAACTGCGGTAAGCACCTCCGGCACTGCATCTTGCAACCTCGCAGCCGCCCACAGACTGTTTGACAGATGTTGAGGAATCATGTCCTTTACCTTGTCAGGGATACTGGATGCAATGGCAGGAACTGCCATACGCACC